TTTTACTTCTATATATAGAATAGATTCTGCATAAATCTCAAAAAGTCGAAATATCTCAAAAATCCAAAATCAATTTTAAAAACATATATAATCTGTTCTGTATGGTTTTTTATATAAAAAAGTTCATACAGTACAATTTAAATTTTTATAATATATATATATTAAATAAATAAGAGTTGCAAAATTTATATAAAATTGTACAGTACTAAATAACATTTCATATCATACAGTTTATCATGACTTAGACATGTGAAAACCATATTTGTCATCCAATATTTGTCACCTTGAATCTGTCACATGAACGTTACACGTGTAATATTTATGATCACCTGCTAAACTATGGACCAATAAAATAAGGGTCAAACTGAACTGGGGTCTAAGATTCTAAGATTCAATCCGTAGTAAATGCAGAAATTTGATAGGCGCAAAGTAATTACCTAAAATCCGATTTAATTTTTTAAAAATAATTTTTTAATTAATAATAAAGAAAAAAAAAATCCAAATTACAAATAATCATAATAAAAAAAATGGCGTTGAATTGGGCAATGATTGCATCGGACGGACAGAATCCAGTTCCACTTCCTCGAGAAAAAGTTCTTTTCCGGTGAAAGTTCATAAAATGATAAAGTTTTTATTTTTTGAAATAACTTGTTTTTTTTATTTTTTTCAACAAAACTTTATCAATCAAATTCTCCCAAGGGAAAACCATTATTTAATAATTCTATTATTATTATTATTATTATTATTATTATTTTAGTCAAGAAAAAACTATTCTTGATTTAGTTCTAGGCGGGTAATGTCAACATATTCTTCAAAATGTGTAGAAATTTTATTTTTTTAAAAAAAAGGAGCACATGATTGATAAGATCTGTGTGTGTGTGTTTCCAGTGAATATCCTGGAAATTTAAATAACAACTATAAGGCCGAAGGAATTATTTTTATCACAAATCAACGAGTATTTATTTATATTTTATTTTATTATTTGTTATATTATTATTTATTATTATAATATTATTTACTAATTCAAATTGTTTATCTCACAATTTTCAATTGATTGATTTTCTTTGATGATGATGATTATTATTATTTAAAAGATTATATTTATTTCTCGACCAACGTTATCTCATTTCAAATCTTTAAGTATTCCCCTTTTAAATTTGAAAGAAGGAAAACTTCAACAACCATGGTTTGGAGCTAATTATTATCAAGCCATTGTAATTCCAGTAAGTAATAAATATATTTAAAGAAAGATCACCCATAGTAGACCAAAAGTATCTTTGCCTTATTATTTTTAATAATTTTAATAATTTTAATAATTTTAATAATTTTAATAATTTTAATAATTTTAATAATTTTTAATAATAATTTAATAATTTTAATTAAAAAAAAAAAAGGTTCTTAACGGTGGACTTTCTTCTCCAGGTCAAATGAAAATTACTTTTAAAGAAGGAGGTATTATTACTTATTATTAAAAATCTAATTACTTTCAGGAAAAATTATTTTGACTGATGAAAAATATCTGTTTTAATTAAAAAAGGGGGATTCGAGTTTAGTACATATTACAATGAAATGATATCAAGATTATCAGGTAAATAAATTTATTACTATTAATATATATATATTAAATCTTTAACATCAAATAATATCAATAACATCAAATAATGTCAATCATATCAATCATATCAATAATATCAATCATATCAATATTCCGATTAATTTTTTCAGAGACAGAAGGAACTATTCCTGAACATGCAGAACCTTTACCAACTTATACACCACGTGAAAATGCCGAACATTCTTCATCACCTTTAACAGCAGCAGTAAGTACAGCAGCAGCAAGTACAGCAGCAAGTACAGCAGCGGCGACATCAAACTTGGTATCATCACCACCACCACCACCACCACCACAAATGGCATTAACTGAAGAATCTATATCAACACCGGAAATATCAAATATTAATAATAATGAGTTATTACCATCAACAACAACATCATCTTCAATAGTTACTTCACCACAATTAGTAGATCCAGATGAATTACCTCCAAGTTATGATGAAGTAATAAATAGATAAAAAAAAAATAATTGGTATAAATATTATACCAGAATAATAATAATAAATAAGTAAATAAATTTATTTTATTTTATTTATCAAATTTGTCAATAGGTAAGTATATCTATTAATCATATTTATTATTAGTTAATTTTTATATTATTTTTTATTTTATTTTATAATTATTTTTGTTTTTTCTTTGTTTTTTCTTTGTTTTTATTTTTTTTTTTATTTTTTTTTTTTATTATTTTACTTTATTTTATTTTATTTTTATTTAATTGAAAAGAGAGAGATATATAGTGAAGAGAAATTTTCTTCGGAATATTTTTATTATATATTTACATTTTATTTATTTTTAATATGAAATAAATTATAAATAATATATATATATATTAAAAAGTACCAAAAAATATATACATTTTCTATATTTTCTATATTTTCCAAATTTCTAATAAGAAAATACTTTGTAAAGAAGAGGAATATTTTTTACTACCATCATCATCACCACCACCATTATTATTATGACTTTTAGAAAAATAATTTTCATTATTTTCTTCTATAAATGATGATGAAAGTGAATTATTATCTTTATCATAATTACTCAAATCACTTAAATCCTCTTCTTTACTATCATCAAATTCTTTATCATAATAATCATCATCATCATCACCTTCATCATCATCATCTTCTTCTTCTTCACCTTCAAAATTATCCAAGTTAATATATTTATCATAATTAAAATTAAAAGATTTAAGAGGTATTTGACGTGATTTAAGATTCCATTTATCTAAAAGGTGTTGTATTGATCGTTTTGAACTATTAGTTTTTTTTTTTTAAAAAAAAAAAAAAAAAAAGTGAGGAAAACATTACTAATAATAATTGTCTAATTTGTACTCTACAAAAAAAAATAAAACAACAATTAAAAGAAAATTACCTTCTTTCTTGGTATGAAGTTAAAAATTTTGCATTTGGAGAATGATAAGTTAATATATACGCGATTGTAACAATAATATCTTGAAAATCTTTTTTTTTTAAATTTATAAACAAAAAAAAAATGTTATTATACATAATATCTATAATATATTATATCACATCATATTATAATAAATTTCACACCTTTTGGATCATAAAATGTATCACTACCCAAAATCCAATCTAATTTTCTTCCTAATTGTTCGATATCACGTAATAATTTAAAAAGACCACCTCCTTTTTCACTTTTTTGACGGACATTTTCATCGTCATCATTTTTTTCCTCCTGATCATCATCATCATCATCATAATCATCATCATCACTTTCATAATCATCAAAGCAACCCCATTTTAATCCTCTTATCCAAACGTTTGAATTGATTATTGCTTCATTAGAAGAAGTAATATTGAGAGATGGTGATGAATTTATTAAAAATCCATTTAATTTCGATCCTTCACGTATATTTTCAAGAATTTGTGGAGAATCCGATCTATCCGTTAATATAACTAGATTTTCCGGAGAAAGTGATGCACATAAAAAACCTGGTAAAGAAGTTCCGGCACCTAGCTAAACATATAAATAAAAATAAATTAAATGAATAAATTTAATTTGATGAGTAAATAATTTTAATGAATAATCAAATGTAATTATAATTATAGATTAATTAATTAATGAATAGTGAATGAATAGTGAATGAATGAATAAATGAATGAAATCAAAAAAAAAAAAAAAATTACTTCTAATATAGTTTTATCTTTAAATAATTCTTTTCGAGTCCAAATGTATTCAGCAAGAACGAAAGCTGATGGCCATACATAACATCCGTATGCAGGATCCAATAACTAATTTATTTATTTTTGTTAATAATAATAATAATAATAATAATTGATGATGATAATAATAATGATAATAATAATAATATTTCATAATAATAAAAATAAAATAAATTATTTACATACCTCTTTAATAATAATAACTTTTTTATCATCATCATCATCATCATTATGAAAATCTTTTCCAAAATAAAAAATTTTTGTTGAATGATTTAAATAATTCATTATAATTATCGCATTTTTTTTTTTTTTGAATTTATTTTTTGATGAATTTGATACATTTTTTAATTTTTCATAGATAATAATAATAATAATAGATGGAAGATGAGATTAGCCAAAAACAGACATCTCAATTTTTTTTTACTATCCATAAAAGGCCAAAACGTGACGTAATCAGTTTCAATTTCGTATATTTTTGTATGTATAGTGTATGTAGTTAACTTGTATATAGTATCATTGTGTATATATCGGTCATTATTATATTACAAGTTTTTTTTTTTTTTTTTTTTTTTTCGATAATTCCTCCCATCTCTCTCTATCTATCTATCTAATATATCCCTTTTTCCCTTTTAATTATTATTATATTATTTTTTTTCAATTAACGTAAATTTTCTTTATAATATATAAATTAATTATTTATTATTAATATTATTATTATTTAACGATATGGAGGATGAATCTCACCATGATTTCGGAGGATCCGGATCTGGTGCTTCTGCCACTTACCCGATTCAATGTTCTGCCCTTAGAAAGGTAAAGTTAAAAAAAATAATAATAATAATGAAAATATTTTATAATAACTATAATAATTGATAGTTTAATAATAATAATTATCATCATAATAATCAATAATAATATATAATAATATTTAATAATAATAATAATAAAAATAAATAATAAAATATTGATGATAAGAATAAGAAATATTAAATTATTTTCTTTTATTCGTTTTTTATGGGGAAAAATTAAATTTATAGAATGGATATGTTCTTCTTAAAGGTAGACCATGTAAGATCGTTGAAATGACGACTAGTAAAACTGGAAAACATGGGCATGCTGTATGTAAAAACATTTTTCTTTAAGATAGATTTAATGTTACACGAGATATTAATAATGTAAATTTATTCTTTTTGGATCTCTCTCTCTCTCTCTATTTTATTATATTTAATAATAATAATAATAGAAAGTGCATCTTGTTGGGCTCGATATTTTTACTGGTAAAAAATTAGAAGGTGAGATTTTGGTGATTAATTGATTGGCTGATTGATTTATCAATGAATAATTTTAATTATGTTTAAATTTATTTTTTTTTAGATCTTTCTCCTTCTACTCATAACATGGACGTTCCAAATGTTACTCGTACGTATCATTTACTGTCATTAATTCATTCGTTATTTGATATTATATGATAATGATGATTTATAAATGTAACATCACATTTATTATCTATCACAATTTATTTAATAGGTGTTGAATATCAACTCTTAAATATTGATGATGGCTTCTTGAGTTTGATGACAAGTGATGGTTCCACTAAAGATGACGTTCGTGTTCCTGATGGGGAGCTTGGAGAAAAAATTCAAGGCGATTTCGATGATGGTAATTTAAATTTATTTAGTTTATTTTATTTAATGTTTGAAAAATATTTTTTTAATTAATAAATGTATGTTATATGTAAATAAATAAATAAATAAATAATAAATAAATAATAAATAAATAAATTAATAAATAAATATATATATAGGCAAGGAACTTTTAATTACTATCATTAGTGCTATGGGAGAAGAAGCTGCTATCTCTTATAAGGAAGCTCCTAGATGTATGTGTGAAATTTTCATTTTTTTTCTTCACGTTTATTTTTTTTTTAAAATAATAATAAATAATAATACTAATATTTAATCAATTTCTTCTATATATTTCATTTCACCACTCCATTTTATTCCATTCTATTTCATTTATTATCATTTTTTTATTATTATCATTTATTATTATCATTTATTATTATTATTATTTTTTTTAAATTTAGCCTAAACATTTATATCTACATATATTTATTATATATATTTATATTACCTTTCGATTTTAAAAATGTTGGGAGTGTATTTAATAATTTGACATTAATTAGAGTTTCTCGCTTAAAAAGAAAAAAATTAAGATTATTATCCAAATACATTTGTTCTCAGTCCTTTTTTTTTTTTTTTTTTATTATAAATATAAATATATATATATATATATATACACAACACATATATATATGCATACACAATTATATATACAAAAAAATAATATATATATATCCACAATCTATTCAAAAGAAAAAGAAAAAAAGTCTCATTTTTTATTATTATTTTTATTCTAACATTATTATAATTATTATAAAAAAAATTTCAGAAAATATAATCTCAAAAAAAAAAAAACAAAAAAACAAAAGAAAGAAAACTATATATATATATATATATATATAAATATACATATATGTCTATCTATCTATTTATCTATCTAAATGATCTAAATGGGAGGAATATTTTATTGGAATATATATATATATATGTATGTAATGTATTTATATGTTGTATTTAAAAAACATATAATTTGGTGAAAATAATAGTAATATTAATATTATTTCAATCTACATTTTTTTTTGGGATATTCATAATAAAATAATAATTATAATTAATAATAATAATTATAATAATTATAATAAAATTCCTTAAAAAATGCTTAAATATAAATTAACATCATATTAAATTCGTTATATTCGGTTATCTATTATTATATTCATTATACTTTTGATTTCTCTATTTATATATCTATCCGATCTCTATCATTTTTTTTTGCAAAAAACGCTAATTCGTGTATTTATAAACTGTTGAATTGTTTTACTAATTATATAAAATATTTTTAATTATATTAGTTCTTTCAAACATTGAATAATATATATATATTGTTCATCATTCTCAAAAAAAAAAAGAGAAAGATATTATTTTAGTAAAATTTATTTCAAATAATAATTATATATATGTGTATTATATGTGTGTATGTATGTATATATATATATATATCATGTGATGAGAAAACAAAAAAAAATTTGAATCTGAAAGTCACCCTCCAAAAAAAAAAAAAAATCATTATGTCCTTTGCATCACTTTAAATTCAAGACGGGTAATTTGATTAGTTTTAAGGTGCCTTCTACAAATTGAACAAGTTCTCGTGGTACTCGCCGCTCGATTAATACAATTATAACAAAAAAGGTGACCACAATAAGTCGTAGCAACATTAGTAGGATATTCAAGGCAAATAGCACATTTAATTAAATTTCCTATTGGAATATTAGAATTTGTTGTTGGTGTTGAAGTTGTTGTTGAGGATGAAGAAGAATTTGTTGTGGTGGTTGATGTTGATGAATTTGTTGTTATGGTTGATGAATTTGATTCTTGTGAGTAAGAAAATCGAGTTTCACTTTCTTCCTCATCATCTTTGGTCAAATCTATTATTATTGGTTCATCTCTTGGATAACGTAATGGGGGTGGAGGTGGTCTTGGTGGAGTATCTGTAGTTAAATCTATTATTATAGGTGACCTTGATCTATGAGATCTATGATTATTTCGTTGTGGTGAAAGTGATCTAGATCTATCATTATTATGATTATTATTATTATGATTATTATTATTATGATTATTATTATTATGATTATTATTATGATTATTATTATTATTATTATTATTATTTCTTATAATTCTTGATCTTCCTTCCCCCTCTCTCCTAGATTGTGAATTATCTGAATTATTATTATACATTTTAGAAGAAGAAATCTTTAATTAATAAATATAAGAAATTATATAATGAGAATTATTTTTTTAATGAATTCAATTATTCTTATTTAATTACGTGTTACTGATTCTGGAGTGAGTGAACTACGACTTGTTCGAAGATTTGTTACGCGATTTATTGTTGGTTCTGTTAAATCTTCCGCATCAGTGGTAGCTTCTGTATCCGTCGCACCTTCTGTATCAGTTTCATGTCTTGAAATAACTTCACTTTCTTCTTCTTCATTGTCATCTATTACAATCACCTCACGAACATTACCGTCAAGATTAAATGTATAAACAGACATAAAATTATTATTATTATTATTATTATGATTGGACGCGGAACGCATTCTTTCTTTCTTTCCTTTTTTTTTTTTGAATTTATTATTATTATTGTTATTATGTGACGTAGAATATATAATGTAGGGAAATAATTATTATGATATTACTAATTGAAATTTGCAAGATAAAAGAAATCTGCAAGAAAAAAAAAATTTCTATATGCGTTCTTTCAAATGTGTTATAGTAAAATTCTCGTGTAACTAAATCAAAATCTAAAGTTAACTATTCACGTGTTTCAACTTAATGGATAATTGTTTTTGAATGTAGTATTTATTTATTTGAATTTGCTAATATATATAAATAAATATATAATATATATATAAATATACATTCACGCGATTCAAAAGTTTTTTTTTTTCTTTGCTGTTGTTTAATATATTTTTTTGTGTTGTAAAAATTCATCAAGTGGAATTTATTACAGTCGACCTCTTCCCCTTGAGACCCCAAAAAATGATCTATAGATCATTGGGATCCTTTTTAATGAGAAGAATCAAATGGTGGTCATCTTAATTGGATTGAGTTATTCATTTAGTTATTTTAGTTACTTATAACTGGGGGATGTGTACAGGGGTTTCTAATTAACTAATTGGGAATCTTGTGTAGCACGAGTTTAAAAAGTTCTTCTGGATTGCTTCCTTCGTTATAAATTCAAAGTGACTTCTGGAATTTTAGCCAATTCAATAAATTTAGGGTCAACTGTTTTGAATTTTAGTCAAATCCAAAGTGTAGAAAAATAACATTCAATTTTATTGCTAGTGTTCTCACAATCTCTTTCGCCTTTTCTTTCAAATGAATCTCTAATTTCACTTTTTTCTTGTAGTTTGGTATGTTCTTTGTAAAAATCCTATCATTTAAATGCTTCTTTTGTATATTTACATTCTTCCGATCCTTTTCAAGATCCATTAAGTCTTTAAGTTTCATAACATATATTTTACTATTACAAACACAATCGAAAATTGAGTGTAATTTTTTTTTCTTCACAAATCAAACCATTTCTATGTAGAGGTTAACAAATAAATTATTATGAATAAAATCAAGGTTATCAATTGAAAAATAAACATATGTATTTTGGGATCAGCTAAGATCCCAGATCCTTTTCTGGATAAGTGGATTTTTATCTTGTATTTGAGTAGTGACGAAACACCTTCTCAAAATTACATTTAGAGATTCCTGTTTATGACGAGTGAGGTAATATAAATACTTTTGTATCCTATTTAATTAATTTAATTAAATAAAACTCTACCTGCATGAGTGAAATTTTTTTATTCAAATAAAATGTAAAAATAATAATCTATTAAAAAAACGAATTTTTTTTATCTTTTCGCACATTTTTTAGATTTCCAAGTATGTCATGCTTGTTGAACATTCATATAAATAACATAAAAAAAGATTTTATTACTTCAAATAAAAATTATCAAAAGTACCTTTACGAATTCGAAGGATTTTTATTAATTAATATACATAATTATGGTATATAATAATAATAATTTAACTTAACTAGATTATAAAAATTTCAACAAAACATTATATATTTACCTTTTCTCCTTTGGAATTGGGTTCGTGGGGGTTCACAATAGATGTATATATATAACGATTAAATAAGTACTGTTACTATTTGAGAAGAGCTAAATTATAGATTACCCTTACAAAAAGAAAAGTTACAATTACAAATATCCTTGTTTGAATTCTCTAAAAAAGACTATTTAATGAATAATATCTATAGATTTCAAGAAAATGGTTCAAACAATTTTTATATTATATAAAGAACAGTTCACAAGGCTTACTAATAAATATTTTCATATTTGACTTTTAAAAAACTATTCAAAAATAATAATTTGATGTCATTTTTGTGTGAATCAAATTCCCACTCTTTTTTTCTAATTCAAAAAAAAAATATCTTCATTACCTTTTGTTTTTTTTTTAATAAAAAAAAATTATTTATATTTTATTTTTTTTATTTTTATGTGCAGGCAGTATTTGTCATTTTTACCAATTTATTATTATTATCATTATCATCAACAACATGGATTGGGATTATATTTTCAATTGCTACTTTTATTTTTAGCTATAATTTGGGAGGAAGAAAATGGTGTCAACGTGATATTAAATTACCTTGGGAAGTTTTCAATGAAGCACATATATCAACTTTACCTGAAGAGATGTTTTATCAGTTGAAATAACACATAAAAATGTTTATTGCATAATAATAATGACGAAGGAAGATTGTAATTAATTTATTATTATTATTATTTTATTTTTTTAATTTTTTAATAATAATAATAATGCATTGGTGAAAATTAATTTAATAATAATAATAATAATGTATTGGTGAAAAATAAAATAAAATAGAAAAGCAATAGAAAGGTTTTTTTTTAACTATATATATAAAGTGATATTCTAGGTGAATAAAAGATTTAATTTTATAACGAATTTGAGTTAAATGAGAACATTGTGTGAAGGGCTAAACTTTTTTTTTTTTTTTTAAAAAAAAAAATAAACCAAAAATTTTTTTTTTGTCAAAGCATCCGTAACAGTGAAATAAATGAATAACAAAAAGAATTAAGGCAAGTCACGAAAAAGCAGAGCAGATATATCATCTTTAGTAGTTATATATAAGTGTAGTAATTTGTAGTAATTGCGGTAAAATGGATCATAATAAGAGAAATTGTAATCAAAATATTAATTTTGATCCTGATCAAATTAGCGAAGATTCAAATCAAATAAATATTGAATCTTAAATATTTTAACTCTATAAAACGGAGGTTAGAAAATTTTAGTATAGTTCATTGGTACGATTGGAATTATCTTAGTACATTGTAATTAAACTAATTTATTAAAGCGCGTTTATAATAAAGTTTAGGATTATGGGTAATGTCAAGGGACACTATCAGTAAATGACGTAAAACTTTATTATAAAAACCTATTTTGAATCATTATTAATGTGCAAAGGTGATATATTTATGGTTATTTTTTTGATATATCAAATTTCATGTGACAAAATAGTTATTTTTTTGAGAGAAAACTTAAACTAGACCCCAGGGTTTAGGTCATTTATTCTAGACTCCCGGAGTTTAGGTCATTTTGTCTAGACCCTTTCTTAATTTATAAATATCAAAGTTAAATTTTAGTTGTACAACCCA